TTCCTAAATTTAAAGCACAGTTTGCGTCAAAAAGTAAATTAGTTCAAAACAAATAGCTCTTGAAACATATAATGAAGTATTTTTATTTACAAAATTGTATGCGTGCTTATTTAAAGAAAAGGCTCCATACTATACTTATTAGAACCAGCTCAAAACTAACCACATTTTTTCTAGCCCGGAGGTGACCCTTTTTGAACTATCTAAGAACTGTTGTTATATGAACTGTATCAGAACCATCTAAGCCAGAGTCAGCTCAGAACAAGTTCAAAAGTTCTGCAGAGGGCGACAATTGTCACTTCGTAGGACATCGCCATGTTAAAAAAGACAGTTGCAAGCATTGAGTTGGGATAGATGAAGAACCAGTACCGTCCCTTTTCAGGCTAGCTCAGCGCAAGTTCTGAACCAGTTTGATTTGCTGCAGGGNATGACCCTTATGCCGGAAAGTCCTTCCAACAACACTGCAACTCATAATTCAAAGACAGAAAACAACAAACGAATTAACAAATTTTAACTAGAGAAAATAAATAAATAAAATTAAACTTCAAATTTACTTAAAAACGTCAACCAGTGAAATGTAATTTTTTATTTTTCCTTACACACGCTCATTTTTATTTTTACTCTCCCGAAAACTTTGACTTTTGTAGGTTTGAATGTCAATTTGGCTTCTACCTGTTTTTATTGTACCATGCCTTAGCAAGGCACTGAGTGTGGGTTCGTGTGTGTGTGCAAAGTTTTTGTAAGGGAGCTATGGGAGTGTTAAAACTCGAATGTCACTAATGAGCAAACCTTTAATTATTGAATCATGCGTATGTATGATGTATTTTTTCTTCGTTTTGCTAAATTTTTTCTACAATTCTTATCAAACGAAATCAAATACCAAAAATGAAGTGTCATTAGGGGAATTCTCTGAGCCCTTGCACGGTGCAAAGATTGCACGGATTGCACGGAAACCGGTTTTGGTATGGGAGAGCTTTGCAAACCGTGCACCGTGAAAGAGGTTTGCAAGACTGATAGAATATTCCTATTAATTATGTGTTTTTTTTATTTACACTGTGTTCATTTAAGGGTAAGAACATAGTGGAGCGGCGAGCAAATGGGAAAGCGCATAGTGAAGAGCAAAGCGTACATACACGTTTGTAATTGAAGCTTTGCTCGATGCTAGCTCTTCGCATTGCTCGCCGCTCCACTTGGTTTTGACCCTAAGATATCATTCTCTTAAGAAACATACAAAATTTTTCTTTCTGACCGTCTGACTCCTGATATATAATGAAATTTGATTTTCCATTTTCCATTTTTTTTTGTTTTTTTTTTAGATTGGCGCTTACACATATGTTAGTGTATGGCTGAGCTTCTCCTCCGACTTGTGGCGTGCGCCTTGATGTTGTCACACAAAGCGGAGAGACCTACAGCTTTACGCCGACTCCGAATGGCGATTGTATTTTTATGAGAAGTTGTTTTTCATGGCAGAAATACACTCGGAGGTTTGCCATTGCCTGCCGAGGGACGACCGCTGTTAAGAAAAACCTTTTTCTAAATTTTTTGCGATGTTGCTTTGACCAGGGCTTGCCCCCAGGTGCTGATGAGTTAAAGCGCGCACTGCTTACCACTACACCACAGTGGCCGACATTCCATTTTTCTCTGTCATAAACGCGAGACAGACCGTCTTGCTTATGCAGATAAACTAGCACACAAATGCGCATAATAATTTTTCCCTGACAAGGGGCAGTGTTGCGGATTAACGAGCCGCAGGGTCGTAGGTTCGAGTCCTACATCCAGTAGAATTTTCAATGCAATACTCTATAGATTAATAATTCCTTCTTTATTTCCTATCAAATTGTTTTGCTAATTTCTTAGTGTATTTACCAGCAATAAACAGCTATAGCACAGTAAAATTTTGAGACGCCCAAATCTTCTAGAAGTAAGCTTTAATATTAGCATAGCCACTAAGAATTTATTTTATATGTGAATCGACCCACTTATTTTACATACATATAGTAACTACATGTGACTTTCAATTAGAGAAACTCTCAGCAGCTGCTACCCGTAATGGTCTACATACATGGTGGCGGATGGTTCAGCGGCACTTCGAGTCCACATTTACATGGACCCGAGTATTTTATGGATACAAAAGAAGTCATACTGGTGACAATCGCTTATAGATTGGGCCCGTTTGGTAAGCTTTAGGCGTCTATGTTGGTACATTTTCAATTTCTTTGTTCTTTTTCGATGGCATATTTTAGGTTTTCTCTCAACAGACGATGACAATATGCCTGGCAATTTGGGACTAAAGGATCAGAATCTTGCATTGCGTTGGATAAAACGTAATATTGCTGCCTTTGGTGGTAACCCAGAGATGGTAACGATATTTGGTCAAAGTGCTGGTGCCGTTTCCGCACACCTGCACATGTTGAGCAAGCAATCCGAAGGTATGTATGTATGTATGTGGTTCCCTGACGTTGCTGCATTCCTTTCACACACAAATCTCATGCCAAATTGACTTGCAGGTCTCTTTCGTAGCATCATAGCCATGAGTGGCACTGCAAATGTACCATTTGCAATCACCGATAAGCCTCGTCAACAGACACGCACTCTGGCCAAGCTGTGTAACATTAGCAATGCAGATGAACTAAGCACCGCCAAACTGGCACGAGCTTTACGTGCTGTGAAGGCTGTCGAACTGGTGAATGCTGGTGATGGTCTTAAATATTGGAATGTCGATCCCTTAACCAATTTCCGGCCGATTGTAGAGCGACATGGCGGAAAGGATGCATTCCTTACACAACATCCGGTGCAATTGTTGAGCGAGGGTAATTATACGCCAGTGCCGTGGATGGCTGGCGTGGTGCCGTCCGAAGGCGCTGTACGAGTGCTCTCGATTTTAGCAAACGAAACGCTAAAGCGACAATTCAATGACAATTTTCATGAGCTACTCGAGAAGCTACTTCAGTTCCCAGAGGCATTTAGCCGCGCACAGCTGAAAGAAAAGACACAGCTGATTATTAATGAATATTTCTGCGGACAAGCTGAAATTAATAATGCGACGGCGCAGGGTTTTATGGAGGTGAGTACGTAGTCAGTAGTTACCTATGTTATGTATTTTAAAGCAGTAATATGAAAGTATTCATTCCTTTTCACAGTGCGTCAACGATCGCGCCTTTCATCATCCCTTCTACAATGCCATTGACGCCTACGTGCGTACCGTTGATGTGGAAAAGAATCCTATCTACTTGTATAAATTCAACTATAGGGGCCCTTATAGCTTCACAAATATATATACGGGTGGTGTTCCGATTGGTGATTTCGGCGTGGTGCATTGTGATGACCTCATTTACACCTTCCGTGCGCCAGCGCTCTTTCCAGATTTTGAGAAGCAATCGACACCTGCCGCTGTTGTAGCACAGATGGTTGGACATTTCGTGCATTTTGCGAAATATGGGTGAGTTAAAATTGTGAAAAAAAGAGTTAATAAGATAAAATGCACTAATTTTTATTGTCATTTATATGGACCTGCAGTAAACCTAAAAGCGCGGAAACTTTACGTCCATGTAATACAGCCACATTTGCGAGTAAATCGGAAGCCATCTGTGATTATCAGGAGTTTGTTAATGACGGCGGCGATTCTTTCAAAGTCCGCGTGAATAATGAATTCAATGTCATACGCGCAAAGCTGTGGAATGAGATTTTGGAAATAGGCACACTTAAAAATTATTCCTGAAACCTAAACACCTCTACCCTTTTTGGAGAAATTTGGACTGATCTTTAAAAGATGCTTGCGCTAGTACTGAGATTTTTTAAGTAGGTAGTTAAGTCGAATTAGGAATTTTAAAAATGTATGTATGTTCTATTTATGATCAGTTTTAGCATGTATGTATTACTTAGCTAGTTAGTCTCTGAAATGTAGAAATTAAAAGTAAAAAAATATATACAAACAACTGTAGTTTTTAATCTGACTATCCCTGAAACCACCGTAGTTCAATTTTCGTTATATCTACGAAAATGCGATCGAAATCGAGTTGTTACGAACGTATGTACATTAAAGTGCATCACCCTGTACCTGTTTAAAAGATCAAATTCCACTGAATTAAAGGAATTAGGTTATTTAAATAGATAGGTATCATTATAAGGGAGTCAGACGAAAGAGGTTTAAGAAGGCTTTAGCTAAAAAATATTACGAAGAGGGTTGCCACCTGTTTGTAAAGTCGAATTTATTTAAACTAAAATAATAATTGTGTCAAACCATAGGATTACGCTATCGTATTTGTTATTTTATTGCAAATACATACATTTTCAATCAGTGATTTGTTCTGATTACATTCCTTTTAAATCACTGGACTCTTAAATTAACTCAGGAATGTTTTTAATCTTCACTTATTTCTTGCTAAATATGCCAATTTTTGCATTTGTCTGATACTCATATTGATATACATATTTCAGTTACCTTATTCCCTTAATTAAAGTGAATTTGATTTTTTGAACATGTGGCAACCCTTCTATGTGTCGTTTGGAAACAAAGTATTTTCAAAACTAGTTCGATTGATACCCATATTGTAATATCTAATTCATTTGACTTATTAAATAATTTCAATAAAATTTTTAACAGGTGGCAACCCTTTTCATAAATAATAAAATTTATTGCACATCTACAGGCCAAGCCCTGTTATTTGACACCTCACTTTTGGAAATCGAACGAACTTAATATACATACCTTTATAAAAGCCACAAGAACCCAAATTTTCAACGTCAAGCTGCATTTACAGTGAAAGTATGAAAGTTATCCAAAAACAAATTGCATTTTTGAATTTAGCGTCCTCAGTTTTACTAAGAAGCGAATTTTCATTTAAATCCGTACATAATTCTATTTTTGCCCACATTTTATATCGAAGGGAAGCACTGTGGCGCCGTCGATTATTTTTGAAGTTGACGACGCCGACGCCGCCGCAAAGCCTGTCGGCGTAAACCTCTAACTTGTAGGTATGATGGAACATATTTTTAGGCTCACTTTTTAGCATAAAAAACTTGAAGCTCAACTGATAAGAAAGAAAGTGCGCCGCCTTTCCGACAAAATATTTAATGGGAATTTCATATGCATATCCGATAAATCGTATCCTTTCTATGAAGATTTGTAATTTTAAAGCCAGTTATTTTCTTTAACCATCATTACTTGTACTTGTGAAAAATTTCCATAGAAATAACTATTCATTTTATAAAATATTCTTCACTCAATATCCATGTCATCCAATCTGCTGCGAACGCGATTTTTCTTCTTTGTTTTCTTCGGAGGCGGAGGTGGTAGAAAACTTTCTAAGAATTCAATGGTATTCAAAATAGTATCCCTGCTCACATTGCCAATGTGATCCTTATCAAAGTAGACAACTGGCTCATTCACCAGGTTCGAGCATGTACAGGGAGTGGAGCGAACAGGACCGAGCATTTCAACATCATTCGGCGCGTTAGCCGTTCCTGACAACGAGTGTAGATAAAAAATCAATATAAAACTGTTTGCATATACATATTCCACGCTCACCAAAAATGGGTCTGAAGCACTCTTTTATCTGTATCCACTTTTGACAAAACTGCCTTATAGCACTGTCGTTTTTTTTGAAAAAGGTTCGAGCAGACTCATCGACCCGGCTCTGCATAAAAGTCGGTATGAAAGGCCATTTGCCTTTAGCGGCAAAAAAGCAAACAATATCTGCGGTTGAATGAGAAAATTTACATACATTTACAACTGTAGCTGTACTTAAATCAAAGCAAGTCAATTGCGAACACCTACAGGGTATATTGAAGATGTGAAAGAAACCACGTCGCTGCTCAAGACTGGAAATCGCATGGATACCACCACCTCTCTCTTCTTTGCCCATCTTTGCACCTACTAAACGGCGCTCCTCCTCTTTTGCGCGAATTTCATCTGCCGTATGTGCTAAACTAAATGGAATTTCTTCGATGCGTACGCTGCGTAGGTATGCCTCGGTGAGCAGCATTTGGTAGAGCAGCAACAGTAAAAATGTTGGCAACACACAGCACAACAGTTGTTGCCGTAGCGATTTCATTGCATTGTACAACTTTCACTTTTTTCCGCAATTTAACCAAAAACTCCATTTGCTTCCGGCAAATGTTGGAAGTGAACTGAATCCAACTAACCACCAAAGTCCTGAATTATCCAGTATCTGTGGCCGCCATCTAAGCATGACGTATTATTACTTTTAATTGGACATGTATGAATGTAAGCTTGTTTAATGGAAAATCCGTGCAAAATCCAAGCTTTGCATGTCGATGGCACATTTGAATTTATATACTTTACATTCAGGCAACAGTCTGGGTATGCCAGTTGGGGTTAAAGTGCAATGAACTCTTTGCGGAAATCAATGAGAACTGATAACTGTCAGACGGAAGCGACATTTTTAGTTTAGTTTGCTAAGTATGTGCAGTAGTTGCATACATACGGCGTTCGACTCACATACACTCCATTAAATGTTAATCATACGCCATGTATGCCGCGGCTAAAATTAATAACACAAATATTACATATGTATGTACGTACGTACGTAGTATGTATCATCACCATTATGCCAGAAGCATGTATGTGCAAATTTACCAATTTTGAGTTATTGGCTGGACTTGATTAACCTTTGGATGTGCTATGTTATACCACAACCCAGATTACTATGCGTACACGGAGACCACTTACATATACATATGTATTATAATTTTAATTACCTGAATGTAGAGGTAAATCTCATAAAAAAAAAACTTTCAAACTTGATTTTCCACCACTTCATTTTTACACATTCATATTTCCGGCAAAGGGGGATGATATGTATCTACACTAGAGTGGTCCAAAAAATTATTTCCGAGATAGGGTTATGGGCAGGGTTCGTATTTGCACACACATGCGCAGCACATCCTAACATTTTACGCTCACACACGTGTGCTGTGCATATAAAAAATTAAAAACTTGCTCACATCACATGTGTGTGCTGTTTGGTAAAAAGCACGGGCACATGTGTGTACTTTATTTTTATTAATATAAAGCACACGCACATGTGTGTGCTTTGCGTAGAGAAACTTATACACTTCGATTTCTATCTCAAATCTTAAAATAATTTTTTAATATGTTTTCTGTCATATAAAAAACAAACAACATCTCACTTTTTATTGAATTGTCTTTCAAAAAATAACGTTTAATAAACAAATTCTTTTAAAAATATATTATGTGCATGTGCATGGGCTGAAATTTGTACAAAAATCGGCTCACACACATGTGCATGTGCTTAATAACAAACAGCACACACTTTTCTGTGAGCAGAGTTTGTTTTCCACTTATGCACACACATGTGTATGAGCAGTGAGTACAAGTTGAATGTGTTTCTGGCGTGTGTGTGAGCAGAGCATGTGTGTGCAAATACGAACCCTGGTTATGGGCATCTTCCGAAAAAAAATTTTCCTCGTACCAAAAGAGGTGCTGGCATCAAAATTTAATTTTCTGAGTCTAAATTTAGAGCATGCAATGTTTATATTTTAAATAGTAAAAAGATTGCACAAATATTAACCAAACAATTGGTCAAGCAACCTGAAACCATTTCAAATATAAATTAGATGAGCAAATGTTACCAGCTTTTTGTAAAAATTATCAATATTTTTGTCAGTTTTAAAGGGGTTCAGTAGCGCATTTCAAGGTCATTGTGCAGTGCACCCTATATTGGATACAATAGAACCTGATTTGGTAGAGTAATTCGATTAGAAATGGCCAACCTTATCTACATACATAATATGTAATTTTCATGGCGGACTGTGTTATTGGTCCCTCGTACTTTTTTCGTGATATAAATAGAAAATCGTCTATGATTTGTAATTTCCAAACAAACGAGTTGCCAAAGTGTGCCGAAAATTGTTTGGAATTAATTTTTCCCTACCTTTACCGTAAACTTTAATTACCCGAAAAATGTCATTTGCCCCCCGAATTCTAGAAGATCTATTTACTGTAAACAATTTTCAATTACTCATTTTCTATTTATTATAAAACAATGGGACAATGGCATCTTTTAAACAGATTTATAATAGTTATAAGTTACTTAAAGTGTAATTACAAATTAAAGTTTTGTCTTATAAAGAGTTTTTGCACAGGTTTAGGGTACTTAGGAACTAACTTTTTACTTATTTACATTATTAATTAACATTAAATGTAATTTACATACATATTTTAAAATAAATATGTACTTATGTATATAGGTATATGTACATATGTATATTTGCTGTATAGGTAAAAGCACGAATGCAATTTAAGGCACCTTTTCGATTGGCATAGCTTAATTTAAGTTTCAGAAAAATATTTTCCAAAAACGCAATTAGGGGTATTCACGGAGTCTTGCAAAGCCCTTGCAAGGTGCACAGGTTGCACGATAAAAACCGGGTTTCCAATGGGACAGCTTTGCAAACCATGCAATCTGTGCACCGTGCAAGGGATTTGCAAGGTTGCGAGAATGCCCCTAATATGTATTTAGTATTTACAGTTAAATATAAAAAAATTAATTAATTATGTAAATATACATATGTTTAAACTTTTGACCAAACAGCTAGAGTCGATCTAACACTTCTACTTAAGAATAAAATTTAGCACTACGTAATCTGCCATAAAATTTAAGATTATAAATTAAATGGATTTTTCAATAAAAATTTTGATTTACAGGATCAATCTGATTGTTAGCGAACATTTTATAACCGACAAATTGAAAATTTTATTAACAACAGCTGAAACGAGAACTTTGGTAAGCGATTACAATATTTTTATTACCAGCGTAGAATAAGTAGGCCTGTTATTGTTCTAAAATCAAAGCAGCTAAAGTCAGACAATTTAAGCCATAAAAAGTCTACAACATATACTCATTTTTAGCGTAATGTTGTAAATGTACATACACTGCCGGCAAAAAGTATTGGTACAGCTGCTTTTTTACAATATATGCAAAAATTTTTACTGTAATATTTTTCCGCCAATTTTTTATAAAAATATGGTTCATTCCACAACAAAAAACATAAAAATATAATTTCTAAACTTTATGCAAAACTCGCGAAAATTCAGCAAATTTTAAACTTTTTAATCAAATTTTTTTTAGAATTTGTTTAAGTATGCAGATTTGTAGCTCAATCAATTTTATAGTAATAAAGTAGAAGTTCTAAGTAGCTACGAGTTGCCGTTAATTTTTGGCAATTTTTTTCACGCATAAAAAAATTTTTCCATACAAAAAAATGTTTGAAAATACTTTATATGGAAAAAATGCAAAACACTTTCAACAAAAAAAAATCTCAAAAATCTTGCTTGCATTTTTTATACTAGAATTTAATGGGCTGCAAAACTGCATACTCAAAAATTCTAAAAAATCTGATTAAAAAGTTGAAAATTTGGATGAAAATTTATTTAATTTTCACGAGTTTTGCACAAAATTTAGGAATTATATATTTGTGATTTTTGTTGTACAAAAAATAGCGGAAAAATATTAGAATAGAAATTGGGGCATATATTGTGCAAAATTCGCTGCGCCATTACTTTTTGCCGGCAGTGTAGCACTTTGGTAATTTTCAATTATGTATTACATATTTAACTATACAAGCTAAGGCCATGATTTTTCTAATACTTCACGTTCATGTTATTTCTTATGAATATAATATTTATACAAATTTAATAAATAAATACATATATGTATGTAAGTATATTTGCATATGTAAAATTTTTTACCTAAATATATATGTGTAATATTTTGTTTCGAAATGACGATTTCGTTTAAGCTTCGTTGTTATCTATCGGTATCTATTTATGTATGTACCTACTAAATAAGTTCGTTTTATTTGGCAACATTTTGCTGTATGGCAATTTTCCAATTATTCGAAAATAAATGTTTAACTACTTTTCTCCTAAACGACAAAGCAATTATTGAACAATTAATTACTATATATAAGCATTCTTGCTATTTTTAGAATTTTCACACCTTATATTAATATGTGTGCATATAGTAGTAACCATGAATTACGCACAATCACAGTCCTGCAGCATCGTCCGATCGTTGTGACTTTTCAGCGCATGCGTGGGCGTGGGCGACACAAGTGGCTGATGTTTGGGTGGCATAGCTTTAGCTTTGGACTTCATTTGTAAGCTTTTCTTCTTTTTTTTATTTTTCGAACGTCGTCGACAACAAAACCATGTAAACACTGTAAAAACAATAATGCGCAGAAAATTTAGTTTAAGTGGTTAATTGCTTTACATCAATTTATTGTTTCTTACCGAGCAAAGCCAATGCCGCTGCCCCTGCAATTATTAACCAACGCCAACTAAGCACTTTGGCTAGTTCAGCTTCGGATTTGCAGCTGTGAAATGATGCCGATTCGAGAGTTAAATTATATGGATCCGGACATATGCGGTTGTCGAGGTTTTCTTTAAATAGAATGAATAAAATAAAATTAAAACAAACAGAAGAGTAATTCGTTTGAATATTTACATTGAATGTTCGCAAGCAAAACTTTAAAACAATTAATATTTATTTTTTTTTTACTGTTGCACGAAAAAAATTAAAAGTAATACTAAGCTATTATAAATGTTTTTGTTTCATATGTATTCAACGTATGCCTGAAAATATGCAAACATTTTGAGTCTGAGGCAAAGGCACATGAGGCAGCGAGCAATTCTACTACAATTTTACAAAATGCAAACCCAGCAGTGAAATAATCAGCATATACGCTGGGACCTAAACCACCTAACGCTTTGCTTTGCTCATATAGTAATCTTCTAATGAGCTATTATTGTTGATCAAAACAGCTATGAAATTTTGACACAGATGAAGAGATAGCGGGTATTTCTGCATAATTAACTCAAAATTTTTTGTAGGAACTAGTTCAATGGACAGCCACCATTATGTCAGTTAAAAAAATTATACATACATGTACACTCACGGCCGAAAGTATTTGCCTAGAGAATTTTTCACAACATTTTTTTTGTTTGTTTACAACAAAAATATTAAAACACAATTTTTAACTTTGTGCGAAACTCAGTAAAATTCAACAAATTTCTACGTAAACTTTCAACTTGTTAAAGAGACTTTTTTTGAATTTTTTTGAGAATGCAGTTTTGTTGTATAAAAAATGCAAGTTTGAAGCTTTTGAAAAATTGCATTGATTTTTGAGAAATCAAAGTACGAACATTTAATAGTATAGAGATGTAACTCAAAATTTACGTTTTTGTAGATTGCATTATTAACATATAGCCAAATATGGCGAAGATATGTGTCTTTCTATCTGTCTTTTTAACCGACTTCCAAAAAAGGAGGAGGTTATCAGTTCGTCGGAATATTTTTTTATTTTTTTTTTTTTTTATGTATGTTACCGCATAACTTTGGACCACGTCAACCGATATCGATAATTCTTTTTGCATCGGAAAGGTAGTGTCTCCGAGGTGGTCCCATAGTAATCTGGTTAAGATCCGATCAGCGGATCATGAGATTTTATATGAGAGTTGAAGTCGGTTTTTTTTTTGCTAAAAATTACTTGTTGTATACCCACTGTATGAATTGATAAAACTTTGATTGTGTTTTCCCACAAAATTTAAATTTTGAAACATTTCGTTATATTATTAAACGTGCGATATGTTTTCCAATTTTTTTTTATTAAAGTAAATGCGTGAAAAAATTTCCAAAAATCAACGGTAAGTTATAGCTATGTACTTCCAACTTGCATTTTATTGTGCTAAAATTTAATGGGATACAAATTTTTGCTTTAGTTTGCTTCTATTTATTATTACCCCCTTCGAGTTCTCCTTTTTCCAGTAGGTATAAACTGCAGTTAGGGCTTGTAAGAAGAAATACATATACTAAAATTGAATGGGCTACGAAGAAATTTATACCATGTTTGTTAGAGAATAAGCTATATTTTTATAAAGAAAAATAATTAAGTTGAAAATATAAAGTCAAAACTTGTCAATATGTGAGTGTCATATAGTTCTGATGCATCTAGGGTAGCCAACATTTTCTAAGATATTTATAGTACTTTTTCAACAAAATTGAAAAAATATAGTACACTTCAAATATATATAGTATATTATTTAAAAGAAAAAGTAAAAACGATTTTTAAGTGATGGAAAAAGTTCTTCCTGTGAATGCCGAATTTTGTTGGAATAGAGAATAGAAATGAAATAATTTTAAGTAAATTTGTTAATTCTTTGTGAGTGTTTTGTAAAAATATGTCACCTTTTTTGATTATAAACTCACAATGACCTTTTAGTTTAAAGAATATTTCACTTATTATTGTTATATCAGTATAAAGATTATCCATTTTAATACAAATTTTTTCGTGCAAATTACTGAAATATATTTATATTTATAATTGAAGAAATATAGTATTTTTGCGTACTATATTTTTCCAACAAAAATAGTACAATAGTATATATTATAGTACGGTTGACAGCCCTAGATGCAGCATTTCCTTATGTTTTAAAGAAGAAATGTTTGGATTTCCCCCGCTTGTATTACTCACCCATGCAGATTGGCACATATTTTACATCAGCTCCAATATACCGCAAATATCGATTTACTTGTTGGCAGGCACATTCATTTATGTCCGTTTTCGTCAGATCCATAGTACGTAAATTGCACATATTGGCTAGTGTGTTCACGGTGAGATCAGTCAACGGATTTGATGAGGCATTTATTTGCCAAAGTTCTAAAAGAGAAGAAATACATACATACATACTCGTAAATCAATCATAAATTTACTATGACATAGTCTACGAAATTGTAGATGCTATTTATCTTCAAATTCAATGACAATTTAAGATAGCCAATACGTTTCTTAATAAAAAAAATCCACACTAAAAGGCACTTGTCTTTTACATAACTTCAAGGGGCAGTGATGTCGCCACTATTTTCAAATATATGTACATATGCATGTATGATTATCAGTGTTGCTACGGACAAATTATTTTTCCTACCAAAAATTCCTACCAAAACCATCCAAACCCTGCCAAAAATTTGTTAAGAGTTTTTAATACCTTCTTCTATGTCAAGTTTATTACAAATGTAGATAACATAACATTTAGTAAAACTAAAACAGAGCTAGTACAATAAAAACTAGTTAACTGCGTGTAACAATTCATTTTACTGTACAGACGTATGCACATACATATCTTTTTATATGTTGATTATATATATATATAGAATGCGCTAAAAGATTTTTTATCCAGGACATACCCATATTAATGGGGTTGTAAAAAATATGTAATCCGCCATTTATGTGGCGGCGGGCCGTCTTTACAATGACTCTAAATACACATACAACTCTACCAGCCAAGCAATTTTTTATGAAAAGAAAGTCCACAGAAAATCTAAAGAAAGCTTTAAAAAAGTTTCGTCGTGTGGCCCACAATGTGGAAAGGCCAAGCTGAAAGGGACTTGACTTCTCTTAACACAGAGAAGAAACGACGGGTGTACGTTATTGAATTCGGTCAAAAAGGTCTGGCCATTGAGATTGTAGATCTGAGGTTAACGCATACATTTGTTAGAAACCTGATGAAATTTTCACTTAGTTTTAAGTGATTTTACTAAATTGGTGGTACTTATTTTAAGGCCCTGTCATTAGGCGCAACATAACCTGGCCTCAGAGAGATCTTAGCCCTTTTATTTCTCTGATATGTTTGTTTAAATCAAATAATTTTTTACTCAAATATTACATATCGTCACCTGAGTGGATTATAGATCTATCTCGGCAGGTAGTTCGAAAACGCCCTTTCTCAGAAAACTTTTCAAGAACGCCCTACTACAAAATTTTATTGAAGAACGCCTTGCTTCAAAATTTTATTGACTAACTCAGAATTTGGTTAAAGAATGCCCTAGCTCAACTGAAAATACACAGATACAGATAGGGCTTTTGAACCGGCAGCTGAGATAGGGCGTTCTTCAACCAAATTCTGTGATAGGGTGTTTTTTTAATAAAATTCTGAAATAGGATGTCCTCCAGCCAAGTTCGGAAATATGGCATTCTGGAAAAGTTTACTGACATAGGACGTTTTCGAACTGGCTGCCGAGATAGGTCGATCTTCCACTCAGGCATCGATATGCGATTACTTACTTGGCAGTACACCCAAATTGGGTAAGTTCTCTAAACCGCAATCGGCTACATTTAAATATTCTAATGGTGCACCTATTGGTGTCTCAAGACCCTAAAAGTAAAAATGAGAAAAAATATTAAAATAAAAATATAATATATAATATATAATATACACATAAGAATAAATTTAAAATGTTAAATAAATTTTGATGAACATATATGACAGACCGTGATAACTCCGGCCCTTGTTTTTTTTGAGGCTCCATATCTCAGAAGATATTCAGCGAATAGAAAAATATATAAGCTTGAAACAAGCTTTTATTATTTCAAAATAAAATGCTATGTCAAAAGTCCCGGAAATGGTAAGGCGGATAGCTTTTTGGATTGAAGAAAGTCACATTATTTTTTTTATTTTATGTTTGTAGGCTAGTCTGATCTTTTGAGTTTTGGTGCGAATAAAACTACTTTCACATTCGTTGAAAGTGCCCCATGCTGGGGTAGCTGATAGCGTTGACTGGGCACCTCGTCCTTTATATAGTAAAGTACCATAAAGGCAGATTCTACAATTAACTATCCGATTGAAATTCAACCAAAGTCACTTGGAATTCGTATTGAAAGGCGCTGAAGTTAACTCGGAAGTGAATTGCGGAACCTGCCTGATTATGAGATATAAAAATGTTTTTGAAACCATTTTTCAGGTTAAGACTTTTTACTAAATATAGTGTTATAAATACCTGCAGGTCGCGTTCGAGATTGAAAAGCTCATTGCTATCAACATAAAGATTTCGCAGCGACGGAAGTTGAAAAATTTCCAATGGTATCGTGACGAGCGCATTATTAGATAGATCGATCTCCTATTAAATGTAAAAACAAATCAGAATTAAATAAATGCACAATTGTCAACTGAAATATATAAATACACCTGCTTATATGTAAATACATACACAAATAAATACATTTTTATTTATCAGATGTGTAGATTCATATGGCTTGAAAATATTCTTCTCAAACCGTGATCACTTGAAATTGGTGCATACAATTAAGCAATTATCGCATACATATAAAATAAGGAAGCCAACATCACTGAGTAAATAATTGATATCATAGCACAAATAGTAAATGCATAGTTATGTTCAAGCCCTTTGATTTGCATTTTGGATATGAAAATAATTCATCTTGACTTACTCATTTGCAAGCTTAAATCTTTAAGTTCATATCCCCAAGCATCTTTCATACTACTTTTCTGTACTTCAAGTTCGAAAAAGAACCAACTGCACTCACGCTCAAACGCTTATCAGCGGAACTTATTTTTTATAAATAAATACATACATACATATGTAAGTATGTTTTTTCCTTTTATATTGTATTTTTTTTAATTATAGCACCATTTACTAATTAGCTGTACAAAAAACATCATCACGTCAATTTTGTTTAATTGTTGATTACAGTGATTTTATGGAGTACACGCAATTAGTAAACCATGTAACTACATGAGCACAGTTGTGTGCAAAATTAAAGCATCAAAAGCGATAAGTTATATAGAGTTCCTTAATTGATAGGCTTCTACCGCAGGGAGCTTCCAAACAGTTACTTACAGGTACGCCATAAAGCATCTCAACGAACTCAATGACTACAACTACAACCCATCGCAGACGAAGAGCTTCAGAGTTTGTCTAGAAACCTGCGTAATTCTTGCCGAACTAGGGACTGAATACTGTATCAGACTTAACTACTATTTTAGGCTCGAACCCAACATAGCGGGCCAGCTTGTGAAAGCATGAGACCAACCACCTCTTCACTTTTCTCCGCTCCATTTGATCCCCGTCGAAACTACACGCGTTCTATAGGTCTACCTAGGTTAGTTGAGTCTGATGTCAACGATTAATAGTTCCTATACCACAGCAACAACAAATTGTCAAAAAGTCTTTCGTAGGACAATTGAAAGACAGATGGCAAGATAGGTCGAAAGACTTTTGTTATTCGTACATCATTGTAGTACCTCATATAACGACATCTTATCACTATTACAATAGGATTAAAGGAAAATAAAAATTTCGACCCGCGCTAACGGGTATCTAGACCTTTGCTACAAAATATTTGCCTGTTATTTCGGCCAATGCCTTAACGTTTTTTTTAGCTTTATTCTCTGTTTTAGTTTCTTTTGCTAAAGACCTAAAGACCTATATGAAGATCTAGATTAAATTCAAACGGCACTTTGAAGCCAGCGCGGGGAGCTCCCCGCGTTTCTCCTCCAATTTGTAGTCTACCAGCAATTCTACGCCAACTCCGAACGACATTTGTTTTTTATGGGCAGTTTTTACATGACAGATCTACATTCGGAGGTTTTCCAATGCCTGTGGAGGAGTGACCACTATCAGCAAAACAGTGTTTCTACATATACCTAACTGTTGGAAGTTGTTGGGCCAAGGTCTCGAGCCCGATCCTAATTTTACATTAAAGCTATTGCCTAAATTTTGCACAACACTGTATAAGCATTTGTACTTACCTCCAATGATGTTAGTGGTGCAAATGTGCCCGGCTCCACCGATTGTATCTTATTCTCATAGAGCACCAGTATTTTAATGCTTGTATAACGTTCGAATGAGTTTCGTCTGAGTTTTTTGATGCGATTGAATGCGAGGTCCAGAATCTGTAATTAGGCGGGACGGTGCAATTAGTTTTAAGCGTTGATAAGAAAGAAATACATTTTCGTGGGCTACATATGTATGTATATACGGGCAGTAAAATAAAAATTACAGCTGACTTTTGCATGTTTTGTATGAATTATATGACCAAGTCTGCAGGAAGTACGTACATAGGCGACAATATACAATGGGAAATATTTATATGAGTATGCACGTATATATGTATGTACATATGCATATGTACTTTTAGGAAATTATCACGACTTCTTTTGTGTGTTTAATTAAAGTCAATTGAATTTCATTTTACTGTGGACAGAAGCTGCCCGGTAGTACGCACGACAAAGTGATGGCAGCAGGTACACTCAGAAAAGAAATATGATTAAAAAATAAACAAATAAATCGGATAAACGTTGTCGAGTGAGTAATACATTTTATCAAGCCATTTGACACAAATTAACCCTTGCAGTTGCACGGCAAGTCTGCGCTGAGAAATTTGCATTTAACCGCAAATGAAAAATTCGCTGTCGTCCATCGAAAGCTAAAGGCCGTTCCCAAAGTTCAATTGACTTTAATTTGATCCCTGCATCGCAGCATTTGAAAGGCATGTTTATCATACATATACTATGTCACACTTGTATACATATGTACATGTATGTATTTATGTATTGTACTCACCTCAACGGATGATTTCAGGTGCTGCGGCACTTCCTTCAGATTCATATCGAAACAACGGATTTTGAGCATGCGCGATGGTCTTAAATACTGACATTTGCGTTCGTCCTGCACAACACCAACATAGCCGAATGGCATCATCATTTTTCCGTTAATTGTGATAAGAGCCAAGAACACTACGGCAACCGCACGACAGTCCATACTGTTTACGAGTGAAGCCGGGCATATGAAATGTGTCAAGAGAAGATGCAAAGAGTAAAATTATAGGATGTCCATCCGTGCAGAAAAAATAAACAAGAACAAAAATTACAAATAAGTGTATGGTCATATGTATATATACATATATATGTATATATACATATGTATATATGTATATATCCATATGCACGTATGTTTGTATGAGTGTAAATTAAAAGCGAAAGGATTGCTTGCTGAGGACAAAGACCTCAAAGCACTGCAGGAGTGTATTGTGTCCGTATTAATGATGCAATAATGATTCACTGTTTCGTCTGTGGCATTCGCACGCGAATTTCATTGATTTACTGAATCTGAAATATTTTTTTTTTGTTGTCATTCGATATGCATGTATGAATGCACGTAATTTTATACCCTAATGGCCTGTGCAATTTATTGTTGCATAATGTTCCAGTGAGTGACGAATTTTGATGCGGGTGAAACGTTCCCAGGCTGGAAGAGCGTTTTCAGTTCGTTTAGGTCGAATTGGCAGGTTCAAAAACATTTTATATGTTTGTAGGTACATTTGACCCAACCCTACTGGAAAAAAGTTCGCCGTACAACCCCGAGTTCTCAGTTGTTTTTGTAAAAGAAATTTCGAAAAATTTTTAGTTTTTTTTTGCCGGACAAAGGTGTGGCCGTTTTACTTTTTCGTTATATCATCGACATATACAGTCGGATCTTTTAGTATGATATATCGATGATCTTGCCTCTGGGACACAATTTTCAAATTTCCATGACCCCAGGGACCCCCTTGTAGTACTTACCCACCAGATCTCCGTTCTTATCACTCTAATGCACCACCCTAATGTCAGTAAATTAAAGCACGCCAAAAAACATTAAAATTTTGCTGACGAAGTATTTTGTTTATTCCAGTAGAAATATTTAAAAATAATAATAAAACTACTTATGTACATATGTATGTATCAACAGTAGGGTGGTCCAAAAAAAGTTTAAAATGTTATGCTTTCACCCCCTGGGATTTTTATAAATGGAAAGAAAAACACCCGTATTTTTTGAAAAAAAAAAAATATATTTAGAGCTGCTTCAAAGCCCATTAAGTTATCCATGTACATATTTTATATGGGGGAAAACACTTCTTCGTAAAAATGGTATACATAAAATTGATACTCATATTTTTCTTTCGGAAAATACTGCTTCTCTTCAGGAGATTTCCTATAATAATATCCAATTGCATATTTTACCGTTTTTTTAAATTAACACTTTTTAGGGCTCCCCCCCCCCCCTTTGCTTATTTGTGGGGTTTTGGGGGACCTATAAAAATGTCAATATTAAAAAATAGTTAAGTACAAAATTGGGTATTGTTATTGGAAGTCTCCTAAAGAGAAATAGTGTTTTCCGACCGAAAAATATTTATTTTAAAGAATTCTATACCTATATATGTTTATACAGTTACTCCCAAAATTACCGTACGGCTCTTTTTTGTTAATATTCGTAATGTGTTACATGCTAAATTATTATTATTTTTTAATTTTGTATTAAAATATAGCTCATATTTACAACAATTAAGAAAAGTCTGCAAATTTTCAGCAAAATCGCGAACTTTTTAATAGGAATTTCTAAAAAGAATTCAGATATGCAGTTTTATAGCCCAATAAAATTTTAGTATAATAATGTGCAGATTTGAAATCTCTAAAAAATCGCGTTGATTTTTGAAAAAAAATTTTGGTGAATGTCCGACGCATTTTTTTCCATATAAAAAATTTTCTGAGTTTTTTTATATGAAAAAAATTCGTAGGACAGCCAACAAAAAATTGTCAAAAATCAACGCGAATTTTTAGAGTAATAAAAAGTTCGCGATTTTGCTGAAACTTTGCAGATTTTTCTTAATTTTTATACACAGCAACATTCTAGGATTTAAATGGAATTTGCAAAAACATAAGCCATATTTTAAAACGAAATCAACAAACAAAAATTTAGCATGTAAAACATTGCGAATATTAACAAAAAAGAGCCGTACGCTCAATTTTTGGAGTAACCGTATATATTTCTAGGAATTTGCAATTGAAAACCTTCACTGCCATTCATTCAATACCAAAACAATATTACATAAGATTTCAAGTTTACAAAATTATACAAAATGAAAATTAAGCATTAAACAACTAAAATACCTGTGGGATACAATTACCTAATAAAAAGTGCTATCAACAAAATTGCAATAACATAAATATGTAATGTTTTTTTTATCTAAACAAAAGTGTATATAAATTATTTGGAATTGCAATACAAGATCATTGCCGACAGTTTTCGTCACACTTTTGTTAGCCTTGCATACAAATAAATAAATGACAGCCGCGGTCATGCCGTGCAAAGGTGTGACATTCAAACGCCGGATTTAGCCGACATTCCCACCCTTCGTGAGAGGAGGTGAGCTCCCCATGCGACTGAGCCGACACAGGTAGGCAGGCAATCAGACTGCAATGAAGCGTATCATTTGCTCTGGAAAGTGTGCTTCGCAGAAGCGTTGCCATCGTTGGGGACTGCGGCGATCAGCCGATTCTGATCGCAAGCCTCCATACAGCGCTTTATAATGAAAACAAACCAACAAACATGCATAGGTTCTATGTATATGAGCCACAGCCGCCATACAAACAAACAAGTAGTATGTAGGTAATTAAATGCTAGATCAATAAAGCTTAGCAGCTCTTCCTCGCATTATGTCTATTCAATCGCGAGTAAATAATTGTACAAATAAACTATTAATTGTATGTGTGTAGTATACGTAAAAATAAACGGTTTATTGAAATCAAATTAACAGAATCATTACAAATGTCAATGCGACAATTCGTCAAGTGGCACAGCGCACTCAATTTGTCAACTACCAAACACAAAATAAATAAATAAATAAACAAACAAACAAACAAACGATAAATAACATTCGCTTTTAAAAGCGCCGTTGTTTTCATCGGCTGTAGGCTGTGTGGGGGCGGGGCCGGTCGGCAGGTGTAAACAGCGTGAAACGTTAAAAATGCATTTAACTATGTATGTACATACATATGTACATTAGGGTGCCCCAAAACATGAGGGGTGAGTTTTTTCCGTGAAATTCGGTGCGCATACCGTCTAAATATTTTCATTTTGACTTAAACGATATACGTATGTATGTATGTCGAAAACCTAACCTCCGTTGAGTGGAACTTCAATTCGGAATAAAACTCCCTGCCTGTCCGCAACTACTGTTTGGTATTTCGTCGGGAGGCCGTTTAGAGCACTAAGCTCTATCGTACGTTGCTGTCTTAGCGCAGTTCGTCGAAAGCTGCACCTGCTTGGCCCCACCCGCCTGTGAATCATTTAACCCGCCCTTCCCTTCCTCCTTTGAACAAACTGTATGGCCCCACCCCTGCATAGAGTCGAGAGTAAGGACCGTATTGTTCGGCGTCTTTGTATGTATCGACGCTTTTTCAATAGCAAGCTGCTTCTGCTAAGGGCGGCGACTAGAGTGACTCCTTCTCTACGTTTCACCGATCTCAACCTCTCCTGTTTCCTCAATTTAGCGATTATTACTACTGCGGCGTTTCTTAGTGCTACCCAGTTGGTTGGGATGTCCATAATTTTTGGCACTAAGTTATATTCTGTGGGGCGTTCGCCGAATGCTTCGCGTAGAGCTTCTCACGCTCTGCATTCAAACATGGACAGCTAAACAGTACATGCTCCGCGTCTTCGGGGAAGTGGCCCGGAAGTGGGATGGCCCGTTGTTAGTTGGTACCCAACTAATCCAGGTCTCAATATTAGGTATGAGCCGTTGTGTCCATCGGCGATTGGGAGCTGTGTCCCATCGTTCCTGCAGTGCGGATAGAGTGCGCCTTCTTGCGAGCGTTCGCGTACTTAGTGCAGTGGAGCAGCCAGGAACGGTCAATGAGGCTTCCTTCGTCAGTAATTCAATAGGGTGCAGACCAGCCACCTCAAGGTCTGCATCTTCCGACATTGTGCGAAAAGCTGAGCAAACCCCTTCATTCACAGGGTCTGTACATCGACTTGATGCTACGGCTGTATGAATCTCCTTGGAGTGCATCTGCCCAGATGCCCGTAGAAGATCACGGATTTCAGCATGCTAGCCAGTCGTTTTTTGGGCAGCCTTCTCGCAATTCCATCGTCGAGTTTAATGCCCAGGTATTTAATCGAGGGCTTCGAATGTATCGTAGACTCCCTGATGCGGACCAACGCCTCCTCCCTTACTTTACGGCCACTGATGAGTAACACCTCCGATTTCTGCTCCGCCAGACACAGACCCATGGATTCCTTCCAGTCGGCAATCGTCGCTCCTTTAACCTCCGCTATCCGTTCGGCATATTCAAGATTTTTGCAGCCACAACGACTGCGACACCGTCCGCGAATACTTTAATTTTCGCTTATTTAGGTACTACTAATTTCAACACGTATCGGATGCGTATATATATATAAGATGGCGCTGGAGTCGAAATATTTAGACAATCCGTATTTATTCTACGGATTAACGCGTATTAACTTTGATAAGAACTGTTTATGCAAAAAAATTACCTAAAACATAGATGGCGCTGGAATAAAGATATTTAGATACCTCCCTACGAATTTTTTTATTAGATGACTTAATGAAGGATGACGCAAAATTGTTTAAGCGCCCCAGACATCCCAGGCATATAAACGCGTCATGGGTGTATTAAGAAGAAGTTAGACAAACTAGAAAGAACACGGTAAGAACATCAATGACCCTATGGTATCTCAGCGCTACTATCCTTGAAGGCCAGTATGCAGCAACAAGAAATGGTTAGGAAAGTTTCCTTAGCCAAATTTCCTTAATGCAGTACGCGGTTCTTAAGAAATTTGCTACACATTCTACTACGATTTTTCAAAGTTTTTTTGTGAAAAAAGTCCACAAGGCAACCCATGTTTGCAACAGAAATATATGTATGCCCGTTCCATTATTTCTGGAGAAAATAGTGAGGCAACAGGCTGTGAAGTATAACGAAA